TAACCATTCACTACCGATTATGTTGAGAAGAAAAATCAATACTTTCCAATTCTGAATTGGACAGTATCCCCTGAACTTGATCGAAGTCTTTCTGCGGCCTCCTTACAGAGAGACTTGTCGATGTCTAACAACTGGGTCAAGAGGATTACCCAATAGGTCAGGAGGATGAATATGGGCAGCTTAGGAGTGTGTGAGTACTCATCAAGGGTGTAACATGACGTATCGAGAAATTATACTTGCTATCTCTGAAGTACTGAGCCGCATCATCACAAAGCACTGGTTCAAAGGATGGTGAGTTCCCATCGTTCGAACATCTGTCCGTTTTCATATCCAAGTGTTGATCAGCTTCGAAATTAGATGCCCTACCATCCTATCATACCGTCGGTATAGTCAAAGGTATCGATATTCGTCCTCGAGGGAGTATCGCTTGTGCAACGATGCACGCAGTTACTGAAATTTTTTCATGCGAAGACTCAAGCAAATTCCCGACTTCCAACATCCTCACCTATTTCGTACCCGGGCCATTACAATGTCAACAACCATCGTTATTCTTACCCCCGTAGTTCCCAACGGGGGTTCATCTGGAGACCGTACCAACACCTCAACCTGTCCCAATCTTTCGTTGAGGTGATTGTTCGCAGGAACTATCATCATGTATGCATCTCTGTCTTTCCATTCCTCATACGCTAACTATCAATCCCAATTTTGGAAATCACAACTCGAAATATCATGGCAGGGAGGGCCTGGTTGGATCAAACCGAATCATTCAGGTGCTTTAAAGCTCTTGCCAACATTCGACTCACCTCATCTCCTACGACCACCTCACTATTTCATAACTCACACAAACCATGGCACAGTACACCCACTTAGCTACTCCAAGTGCAGAAATCATAGCTGCTCTTTCGAGATTACCGTCACCTATAGACACCAATGACCCAGAAGCTTTCAAAGCAGGGTTTCTAGCTGGCCTTGATTCCTCGAATGCAATTAGGAAGACATTTATGACTTGTCCCCCTGGTGAGTTGTTGGTTATCTTGTACTGACCTGTTGCCTGTATTCACCCAACTCCGCCCGCTATTCCAGATGATGAACTACAAGTCACGGAGCGAATAATCCCAGTTGATGGTGGGGAGATTTCAGTACTTACTTATGTCCCTACACCTCGCGATCACGTCAAGGATATATTCCCTTTGTTCCTTTGGATACACGGCGGAGGTGAGTGTGGTCCATGCCGTGGTTTTCATTGCATCTACTGATACTTTTATGGGGCGGTCCGCCATGTAGGGTGGAGTTTTACCATTCTTAAATTGGACGATTTCATGCTGCGACGGATCTGTTTCGAACTCAAAATATCGATTGTGAGTGTGGCACATAGGTAAGCGGTCCTTTTCAGTCATGTCACTACATATGTATCTTTGGTCTAGGGTGGCACCTGAATTCCCATTCCCGGTTCCCGTCAACGATTGCTACGAAGCACTCAAATGGGTGGGTGAACTATCACTTAACTTCAGTGGCTTCAATAACCAGTCCTCTTTAAAGACTGTTAGTAATGATTCCGACCTCAGCGCATCCCCTGCTAAAGGCCTCATTATTGGTGGATGCTCCTCCGGTGGGAATATAGCAGCTGCGTTAGCATTAAGAGCTAGAGATGATCCTTTCTTCAACAAGGAAGGAGGGAAGGCTATCACTGGTCAACTTCTTCAAGTTCCTGCTGTTATCCATCCTGATGTCGTCCCTACAAAGTAGGTTTCAACGGTCAAGTTCGATTCGGTTCAAAATGTGCTGATTACTTACACTCTCTTGTCATATACAGGTATAAACCACAGTTACTCTCATATGAACAATGCAAGGATGCACCCGTTCTTCCTGCAAAGAACATGTATACATTCTTAAGTACGTTCTTTAATCAAATCGAGACTGATCACTGTTCACCATGATTCTTAGAGTTTTACAAACCCGACCCATATTCACCTCTTTTTTCTCCTCTCCTTGCGTCATCCCATGAAGGTCTTGCACCAGCATATCTCCAAATTAGTGGTATGGACCCACTGAGGGATGAATGTTTCTTGTACGAGAAAATTCTCAGCGAAAGTGGAGTAATCACGAAATTGGATGTGTACGTGGTTTTTTGTGAAAACGTCCATTACTACCTGCGAGTCTGATCTTAGTTGAGATTTCTTTTACCGATAGATATCCTGGCTATATACATGGAGGAAACTACACCTTGCCTGGATTGGATATCACTAAGAAGTATGAACAGGATTTCGTCGAGGGGGTTAGATGGTTGCTTCAGTTGAATGGACATGAGGGAACATCTACTTCAAGCGGATAAGTAGGAAATAAATCTCAAAGAAACTTCCGACCAATCTGATTCGAGAGCATCTGTTGAAAATATGTATGTACAGTTACTAAGTACTATCAACTTTGAATGAGTGTTGATGTTGTTTACAGGTTCAAGCTCATGGAAATCTTCAACTTCTCTCTGCTGAAGATATTTAGTCTTAATCGAGATCAACATCTCTCCTTATACCTCATATAGGCTTCAACATTGTCATATAAATTATGTCTTTTCCTGGCATACGCGTGTTCGAACGATTTCCAGTTTACATGTCGGAACATAATTCAAGTCAGCTTGGAATCCGACCGATTCAAGATACCTTCAACAGCTGTCAAGGTATGATCATCGTCGTGATTACAAGTGCATTTGATCACTACTATGCTTGATGAGGATCTTGCTTGATATCCCTGTTCTCTGTGTGTCGGTCCCGGAGGGAGGGAAACAGGAGGATGTATGTCGCATTTGCATTAGTCTTCCCATTGACTGACCTCAACACGGCATTGGTACCTCAATTATGCTGTAACACATGCATATCATGTAAGTACTAGTTCCGCATGCTTTTCCACTCCTCTGAGCTACAACTGAAACCATATTACAGGAATTGATCATAGTCAAATTAGAGCGATATCACTCACATGAAGCCAAGGAATAGGAATGACAGGTTTGAGTCATTTTCTGCGTTCAAGAGCTGCGTATTCACCCGGGATATAAAATGTGCAGATGTTCATTCGAATGTCTTCACATCGGAGAGAGACGTACACTATGTCACAAAACGCTCATCTTTCCCAACCCCTTCCCACAGACCAAGATTTGGCAGATGCTTTGGCGAAGTATCAACCTCCAAAAGTGAGACCCGTTACTGATCCTGAAACGATGAGACAGAACTTCAACTTGGTAATAAAAGGAGTTCAGGACAGAGAGAAAAAATCTTTACCCAGTTGTAGGTCTCTTAAACTCGGCATCTATGTACGATGGTGAGGTGATTCTCACCGTGTTTTCGTAAGTTCCGACTATCGCGTCGAAGAGCATGATATCATTGTAAACGTCGGTGAAAGTGATAAGATTAAAATACGATGTTTGGTACCTACACCCGAGAGTAATAATGCATCTGAAAAATCAACATTCCCAATATTAGTGTGGTTCCATGCGGGAGGTAAGTCATATACTCACTTTTGATTTCTTCCCGCCATGGTTACAACTTGCTGCCATCCCGATCTTGAAGCGTATATTGTTGGGAATCTCGATACAGAAGATTACTTCCTTCGTCGACTCTGTGTTGTATTCAAGCTAATTATAGTCAACGTCGACTATAGGTCCAACACTTCACATGTTTCGTTGTTTGGTCATGCTCATCTCTCCCAAATTTACTCTAGATTGGCACCCGAACATATCTTCCCAACTAGTCTCAATGACGGTTACGCAGCTCTGAAATGGGTTCGTAATCCGTCACATTCATATCTGTTCACTTTCGACGCTCATCAATATCACACAGGTTATCTTAAACGCATCCCTGTACTGGAGCACGTCACTTGACGAAGACGGGATTATTCTTGGAGGCTGCTCTGCAGGTGGAAATCTGGCTGCATCGGCGGCCTTGCAAGCTAGAGATGACCCTTTCTTCAAGAAGTATCAAGTAAAGCTTAGAGGCCAACTTCACCAGATGCCTATGACCATTCACCCTGATGCTAAACCAGAGGAGTGAGTCCCTGTTTTTGTTAATAAGTGGGAAGTTAATAGTAATCCTATACTAAGCAGATACCAATCGCTGCTGTTGTCAGTTTCCCAGAATGCGAATGCACCGATTTTTTCTATGGACCAGCTGAACAATATCATGAGTAGGTTTCATTGTTGCTCCGAGTCGATTGGTGTTGTGAATGCCAATCACTTACCACCTTTTCGTGATTTTTTTTTTCAGAACTAGTACAACCACCTCCTACCAACCCATTGTTCGCTTTCGGATGCTCCTGAGAAGTAAGCCCCTCAGTGTGTTGTATGCGGAGATGCACTTGAATACCTCGATCCAACTTCAATGCAGATACCACACTGTTTTACGTTCAATGGAAGAAAACAAAGATTCACCTCTCGTCAATACTTCACATCACTTGAAAGCCTTGGGTGAGCATTTCTTTCTACTTCCTTTTTGCGGAGTTGATTGATAGTCATATAGAATACTACGATGCACCTTCGAACAATCCCGAGGTTTCCTTGTTACTTGCACCTCGTCATTCAGGACTGCCTCCGACATATTTCCAAGTTTGCGGCAATGATGCACTTCGAGATGAAGGGCTTCTCTACGAGCAAATATTAAGAGAGAGTGGTGTTCAGATAAAAATAAACATGTAAGTGTTCCTCAAGAGTAAAGGTTTCATGGTGCTTGAAACTCATGATTATGTTCATTATAGATACCCTGGGTTACCACACGGAGGAGGACACTTTCATCTTTACAACTTACCAATTTCTATCAAGTATAGGAGAGACATTATAGAGGGTACTAAATGGCTTTTGGAATTGAAGCACTACTAACCCTTTGGTCCTGAACCATCCATCCGAGTGTCGAAATTATTGTAGATCCAAAATTATGCATCTCGGCACATATTTGAAAGAAGTCGATTGAAAGGTGCGAAAGAAAAGAAAAGAAAAGAATACCTATGTACCTTCTAACCTGCCCCTGTGAGGCTCGAACTCACGACCTTCTAATGTATACCGCGATAACAGTCAGATGCTTTGACCATCTAAGCCAAGGGGCACACACACAACAATTATTTGAGACTATGAAGACCATCTGCTCTACTGAGGAAAATGAAAGTGAAATATATATGATCATCAGTTGTTATTTGGGAGGTATTCAATGTTGAAGCAGAATTGGCCAGCTTTCTCGCTTGAAGGATAGGCTCGATGACTAGTGTGTCTGAATTTGTATTAGACGCTCAGCCATGACAATTGTGTGACGAATGGTTGCCGATCAAGAGTCACATACTTTACAACCTCTTCAGCAACATCCATTCTCGCCACGTCTGTAATGTCTTTCTCTTACAATCTTCTGAGAATATCAACCGATTCTATGCTTAACGGGAGATTTATAGACACAACTTTGTTTGCATACTCTCGCCAGAGCATTAGCAGTCCAAATGTGCTTCATTCTTGTAAGGTCTTCTATGCCAACCGAGAGATGCTTGAGAGTTCTTCGCCGTATCTCAAGGATTGTAAGAGATTATGTATTTACACCTATATCTGATATTCATTTTCCGGTGCAAACCAGTAATTGAAAATCCACTGGATCAAAAAACCGATCGATATGAATATGTTGAAGATAGTGACATGGAAGAGGACGATGAACATTGTGATTATTCACCTGACTCCATAAGTCTCTACTTCAATGACTATCTTTTCTTGCTTATATCAATGGAATAAAATCCTCAGCTTCTACCATTACCGCAAACATCAAGAATCTTTCTTCACAATGCTTCAGCCCAAATATACGTATGTGACTCTGATCCACTGACAGAACATTCATATGTTGTTGTTTTCTTAGTTAGAAGGCATATATATTCTATCTGGCTACTGGAAAGGTTGCACTAAATGCACTGCACTCACAAACAGAGAATGAAAAGGAACAAATCGAAAGAACTTGGGATGAAGAAGAGGAGACTTACATCCCACGTTGCTCACCAAAATCAATGTATAGACTGGCTACAATGGTAATTTGCATTCTCTCACTCTATGTTTAATTACATTCTAACATTGTTCTTCTTGCATATCAAGGTTGAAGATGAGAAGTTGTGTACTCAGTGTATGGTCGCAATCATCAATCACATTTCTAAAGAAAATGCAATCGACGAGTTATTTCTCAATTTTCTGCAGAGTAAGTCACTCTGATTGTCATGGTTTATCTGCCAACATCTTAATTATATTTCAATAGTCATCCACTAGCTCTCAAATCTCTTCTGGAATACATTACTCACAAGTTTGGTCCTGGTTTCATATTAAACGACATGAAGGAGCTGATACTACAGAAGATTAAAGATTATAGAGACACCAGAAATGTCCCCACATCATACCATCCAGTCATGCACTGTTACAGATTACAGAGCTGCCTTTTCCTTTTTACCTTTCTATTGTTCCATTACTTAAGCTGGAGTTATTGTGGACTAATTAGTATTAGGGATCATCCTGCGTAATGACAACCATGTACGATTAGCTGGTTTATCTAGGGTTTCTTCTCACTTCTTTTCATGAACTTTCTCCAATGTTTCTCCTAGGTTTCCCCTTTGTTTCTCCAGTATTTCTCCTTGAGTTTTCCCATAGTTCTTCCAGTGTTTCTCCTCGATTACTCCTCATCTCTGGACGATACTCTCACATCTATCAGACTGAGGCAAGTTGTATAAAAGCCTGTACTTTATCCAAGGTCGAATCTTTAACTTCGACCTCTTGTATACTCTTGATCTTAGCAATAGACTTGTTAAGAATCCCTACAGTCTTCTGAGTGCTCAAGTCTCAGCTCGATTCTAAGTCTTGATTTGCAATCAAGCCTTAGTCATCTAGGTTACTTAATCGAAGTCCATAGTCACAGTCACAAATAAGTCATGTTAAGCTCAAACCTTAACATTAGGTCAAAGTTAACAAATAGCACCCACTTATTATTAGTGAAGGTGCCAACTTAAGGAATCACGGATTCAAGGAACCAACCAGGTGGAAGCAGATGCTTCCGAGCACCAAGCAATTCTGATTTTGAATTAGAATACGGTGATCCCATTGATGTCGAACAGACCAAACAGAATACCCCAGTAGCACCTGTACCCCAAGAAGCACAAGCACCAATCACAGTTCTTAGCATTAATGACTGGCTAGCCTAAAACCCTAGTGAAAGATTTCGAGGATACAGATTTGATCGATACAGAGATTACCTTCGAGTAATCAATTTTACTAATCACAGTAACTACTTAGAAGGGTTTAATCAACAAGTAGTTGATTATGAAAGAGCAAACCACACTCAGATTCCCTATACTAGACCTCCAAGCCCAGAACCACCAAACAACCCTGAAACCGCAGTAGTGGTAGTACCACCACCTCTGCCTCCACCTCGAAACAATCCAACTCCACCAGGAAATAACCCACCACCTCCACCGCCACCCACAGTAACTGCACCAATGGCCTCACCAATATCCACTGTCAAGCTCGGTAAGCCTGAAAAGTTTACTGGGAAACCTGAACAAGTTCGACATTACTTAGTGTACTGCAACCTATACTATATGGTAAACACTGGATTAACCGAGGTCTAGAAAATCATATACTCTTTGTCGTTTATGGCCGAAGCCGGCACAATAGGAGAATGGGTAACAAGAGTCCACAACCTCCTAGAAAAAGATGTAGGACTAGCTGCAGCTGACAGAGAAATGAATGAATGGAAGAAATATGTCACTGCCTTCAAGTCTCAGTTCGAACAAGGGGACATAGAACAGAAAGCAAGAGATGAAATCTATAATCTCAAACAAGGAAGAGCATCAGCAGACAGCTATGCATCTCAATTCTTAGATGTGCTCAGCAGAACTGGAATAACCAAAGAACTTATGAAGATCAAACTGTTCAAATAAGGACTTGATCAGAGCTTGCTCTTGGTCTGCCTCAATACAGAAACCCTACCTACCACTTTAGCAGGGTGAATCAAGAGAACTTCAATCATCGACAACAATTACCAAGCGGCATTTCATAGAGAAGGAAACACCTTCAGATTCTACAATAATAATTACGGATCAAACAATCCTCAGGGACAATCTAGACAAAGAGACCCCAATACAATAGATGTTGATCGAGTCAACACTGGACCATTAACCTAAGAGGAAAGAAATAGGTGAAGAAAGGAAGGGAGATGCTTCTACTGTGGAGACAAAGGGCATATGGTATGAGACTGCCAGAAGAAGAAGCAGAATGGAAATGGAAATAACAATAGGCAGGTGAGAAAAGTACAAGCAGAAGCAAAAATAGAGGAAGTTGCTGAAGAACCTCCAAAGTAAGAAGAACCAAAGAAGGCACAATATAAGTTGGCCACCATAAGGGCCATAATTCAATCCATGAATGATGAAGAGAAAGATTTGGTAGTAGATCTGTTTAACGATGCAGGATTCCGTGTCGAAGACTTGGGTTTTTGAAGAAGTGACTACCACTGGTGTGTGGATCGCTTGGAATCTCGCTCTTTCCTGTAATAATAGCCAATACCGAATACCAATCATTTTGAATCCCTATTATATTGAGAGCGTGAGATAAAATCATCAGAACCCAAGCCCTAATCAACTCAGGAGCAGGAGGAATTTTTATTCATAAAGATTTCGCAAAGAAACATGACCTTTCATCAAGAACATTGAATAAGCCAATCTCAGTATTCAATGCTGATGGAACTGAAAATAATCAAGGAAGAATTATAGACTATATGCTTTGCTCACTTGATATTGACAATTCTCTCATTTCTCAGAAGTTGTTCCAAACCAGAATAGGAAAAGAATCGGTGATTATTGGACTTCCATGGTTGAAACAATTTAATCCAATAATAGATTGGGAGAAAGGAAGAGTCCATTTGAATCAGAAACGGATAAAAGAAATACAAAATAAGAACCTCAGGCAATATGTCAAGGAACATATCGAAAGGAACAAGCAAATCAGGTTGACACAAATACTGATGGAAAAGAAAGGAACATCAATGTTAGTCAATATAGTACCAGAAACAGACAATTTCCATTGGTATAATAAGTATTAGATTTCTGAAGATAAGAAAGAATTCAAACTCAGATCAGTCTGGATATGACTAAAGGTAAACCTGGCAATGAAAATGGCACAGGAACAACAGGAGAAAGAACCCAAGAAAAAACTAGAAGAAATAATTCCAGAGTTTCTTCAAGACTTTTCTGACATCTTTGAGAAATTGACTTCAGAAAGATTACCAGAATCTCGGCCTTATGATCATGCAATCGATCTAAAAGCAGATTTTATGCCAAAAGATTGTAAAGTATATCCGATGTCTCCCAAGGAACAAGAGGCATTAGATAAATTTTTGGAAGACAATCTCAGGAAAGGGTATATTTGACTATCGAAATCGCCACAAGCAGCTCCATTCTTTTTTGTAGGAAAGAAAGATGGCACGTTTAGACCCTGTCAGGACTACTGGTATATCAATGAATGGACAATTAAGAACTGATACCTGATTCCACTAGTATCAGAACTTTTGGACAAGCTGCAAGGTGCCACCATCTTTACTAAAGGAGATATCTGATCAGGATACAATAACATTCTAATCAAAGATGGAGATCAATGGAAAGCAGTATTCAAAACCAATCGAGGACTATTCAAACCCATGGTAATGTTTTTCGGCCTATGCAACTCTCTGGCAATGTTTCAAGCTATAATAAATAAAATCTTCAAAGACATGATAGATGAAGGATGGCTAGTAATCTACATGGATGATTTCCTCATTTTCTCGAATGACATGAAAGTTCATCACAAGAGGACAAGAAGGGTATTACAAAGGTTACAAGAACAGGATCTATTCTTGAAACCTGAAAAATGCCTATTCAACCAACCCAAGGTAGATTTTTTAGGAATGGTAATTGAAGCAGGAAAAGTAGAAATGGACCCAGTCAAACTCAACGGGATCAAAGATTGGGAAACACCAAAGTCCGTTAAACAAGTTAGATTATTCATTGGATTTTGCAATTTCTATCGAAGATTTGTGTTGCACTTTTCAGATATATCTTGACCA